TGAAGTCTTATGAAGTCTCATGAAGTCTAATGAAGTCTCATGAAGTCTAATGAAGTCTCATGAAGTCTTATGAAGTCTGATGAAGTCTTATAAAGTCTCAAGAAGTCCTACCAAATCTCTGAAGTCTAACAAAATCCGTGAAGTCTCATGAAGTCCGTGAAGTCTCATGAAGTCTGTGAAGTCTCACGAAGTCTTTTGAAGTCCCGTGAAGTCATATGAAGTCTTATGAAGTCTTGTGAAGTCATGTGAAGTCCTATGAAGTCTTTAGAAGTCTTGTGAAAATATGAAGTCACTGCGGTTGAAGTCTGTCGAAGTCTTTTGAAGTCTTTTGAAGTCTTGAAGTCTTGAAGCCCGCTGTTTTCTCCTTGGTTTTTCCACTAAAATTTAATGTTAAGTTTTAAGGAAAAAAGTATGACTTAATATTAAGTTACGATTAATGTCCCACCCCTAATCACGATAGCGACCAGTGAATTTCAGCGACTGGGATTTAGATAACGCACAGATGTCATCGTCAGCGAACGTTTTCGGCTACAAGTCAACACAATATGCACTCAGTAAATCATCACCTCCCAGGTCCAAGATGTACGGCGGGAAACCGCCTGATCCGGTGAATTTCCGGCTATTTCAGGGTGGCAGTATTCCCAAATCGGTTCCGGCTTTCGTTTCCTACTTAATTCCCGCCAGTTCCGGAGTCCGAAATTGATGGCCGGATACGAGCCATAAACTGTCGTTTCCGGTATGGTTCCCGCGCCTGGTTCCAGCGACTTATGACGACCACAGGATACGAGCCATAAACTGTCGTTTCCGGTATGGTTACGAAGCCAAGATCCCGCCGTTTGCATTTCGCCTACGGAGTTCGGATCCGATCACAGGATACGACAAGATAGGACTCGGATCCCGCTAGTTCCAATTGAATGGATTCAACTTTTCAGTAACACCCACACTCACCCCCACATACTACTCATGGGTTATCCTATGGACGTACCCATAAGTCCTCAAGGGCTATCCTATGGAGGTACCCATAGGTCCTCAACGGCTATTCTATAGAAGTACCCATAGGCCCTCAAGGGCTATTATATGAAGGTATCCATAGGTCCTCTAGGACTATTATATGGAGGTACCCATAGGTCCCCATGGGCTATCCTATAGAGATACCCATAGGTCCTCAAGGGCTATTATATGGAGGTACCCATAGGTCCTCAAGGGCTATTCTATAGAGGTATCCATAGACCCTCAAAGACTATTATATGGAGATACCCATAGATCCCCAGAACCATCCTATAGAGGTATCCATAGGTCCTCAAGGACTATTATATGGAGGTACCCATAGGCCCTCAACGGATATTCTATAGGGGTACTCATAGGTCCCCATGGGCTAGCCTATAGAGGTACTCATAGGCTCTTAAGGACTATTATGTGAGGACACCCATCGATCCTCAAGGATCGTCCTATGGGGTACCCATAAGTCTGAAGGACATCAGACAATAAAGAGATATGGCTGTGGACGATACAAGGGATATAAGAGGAGAATGACATATGGCTACATGGACTATAAAAATATGTGCAATAGAAGAGTATGAGGCTGTAAAGCTTCGATCTTTAAACATAATATTGCGTAACTGTATGTCTGTTATCGGATGAAAAGCGAAAAAAAAACAAAGTTCGAAGTCCTCGGAGGACGATTTTCGTACCTCTCGATGACTCTTTTTCAGACATGGTCTCCCCTAGAAATAGGGGTACACCATGTGCTGCGTTCACTCTGAAAAAAAATAAAGTTCGAAATCCTCGAAGGACGATTTTCCTACCTCTCGAGGACTTTGTTTAAGACATCGTCCTCACTATACATAAGGGTGCATGATGTGCTAGGGTTCACTATGAAAAAAAACCAAGTTCGAAGTCCTCGGAGCACGATTTTCCTACCTTTCGAGGACTTTGTTTGAGACATCGTCCTCACTATAAATAAGGGTGCACCAAGTCTTAGGGTTCACTCTGAAAAAAAAAGTTCGAAGTTCTCGAAGGACGATTTTCCTACCTCTCGATGACTTTTTTTGAGGCATGGTGTCCACTATAAATAGGGGTGCAGCACGTGCTATAGTTCATTCGAAAAAAGAAAGCAAAGTTCGAAGTCCTCGGAGGACGATTTTCCTACCTCTCGATGACTTTTTTTCAGACATGATCTCCCCTACAAATAGGGGTGCACCGCGTGCTATGTTTCATTCTGAAAAAAAACAAAGTTCGAAATCCTGGGAGGACGATTTTCCAACCTCTCGATGACTCCTTTTGAGACATGGTCGCCTCCATAAATAAGGATGCATCACGTGCTAGGGTTCATTTTGAAAAGAAAGCAAAGTTCGGAGTCCTCGGAGGACGATTTTCCTACCTCTCGATAACTCCTTTTGAGACATGGTCTCCACTATAATTAGGGGTGAGCCACGTGCTATGGTTGATTTCGAAAAAGAAAGCAAAGTTGGAAGTCCTCGGAGGACGATTTTCCTACCTCTTGATGACTCTTTTTGAGACATGGTGTACCCTATAAATAGGGGTGCACCATGTGCTAGGGTTCATTCTAAAAAAAAAAGAAAGTTTAATGTCCTCGGAGGACGATTTTCCTTTGTCTGGATGACTCTTTTTGAGGCATGGTCTCCCGGACATGGTGGATACGGTATGTTTCCGGTGTATTCCGTGATGGATACGGTGCGTTCCGTGATGGATACGGTATGTTTCCGGTGTATTCCGTGATGGATACGGTGCGTTCCGTGATGGATGCGGTATGTTTCCGGTGTATTCCGTGATGGATACGGTGCGTTCCGTGATGGATACGGTATGTTTTCGGTGTATTCCGTGATGGATACGATGTGTTTCCGGTGTGTTCCGTAATGGATACGATGGATTTTCCAACGTTTTCCGGTGAACGGAAAAGTTTTGTAATTGACCGGTTCCTGGTACGATGACTTTCCGGCCGGAATACTGCCCCCCGTTCCAATATTTTTCCGGTCGGTTCCGGCAGGAATTGCACGGGAACCGGCGGGAATTAGCCGGAAAAGGCGCCGGTTCCGGCAGGTTCCGGTGGGATCCGTTGACTGGAATCATCGACCTGGGCTCCTTTCTGTCTCTCATTCGTGTTCATGGTCACGACAGACACATAGACGAACGCAGAGTAAAGTTGAATCGAACAGAATATGAAACAGAAGAGTATGAATATATGCGAGAAGTTCAAACGAAAATTTTCCTTTTCACTCTTTTTCTCCAAAGAAAACCTAATAAATCATATTACCTTGTAACTATCAATTTTTCTCAGTTATGTCGGACTAACCCAAACAACAAATCGTATAACAGTTATAACTGTCGATACGAGTTGTAACTATCCCGTTGGGAAACAACAAATTCAACTTTCACCAAATATTTCTACCTTCAACTTTCTCCAAAAATAGTCTCGCACGCATAACCAATGCTGACCATTCTATTTAGTACCGACATGCTCTGACAATATACAAAATGGACTCGAAACTGGTATTGATTGTGGTGGACCTTGCACTCTGCAGTGTTACGCACAGTCCTGTGCACTCGATACTGACTGCAAAAGCGGTGTTTGTTCGTTCCAACAATGTCAAGGTAGAGAAATACAGAAACAATGTCTTTCTTATACTCAATGGAGATTCTAGCGGCTGCCTGCAACGATCGTGTTCGAAACGGTGGAGAAATTGGCATTGACTGCGAGGGTCCTTGTGTGAAACGATGTAATGGTCAAGCATGTAGTTCCCCTGATGATTGCTGGAGTGGTGTCTGCGGAAGTAATCGGACTTGCTTAGGTAACTGCTTCCACTTAGAGGTTTCTGAAATTAGACCCTTCTCTTTAGTACCTACATGTTCTGACAATATACAAAATGGATTCGAAACTGGGGTCGATTGTGGTGGTCCTTGCCTTCGAAAGTGTGCCAATAGCTACTGCACATTTGACAATGACTGCAACAGCAGCGTTTGTTCCTCGCAAACTTGTCAAGGTAGGAAACTAGAAAAAAATGTTCTTCCTATACGGAATGGAGATTGTAGCGGCTACTTGTAACGATGGTGTTCGAAACGGTGGAGAAATTGGCATTGACTGCGATGGTCCTTGTATGAAACGATGTAATGGTCGGGCGTGTAGTTCACACGATGATTGTTGGAGCGGTGTCTGTGGAACTAATCGAACTTGCTCAGGTTAATGCTGCTAGTGAGACATTTCTGAACTTTCACCCTTGTCTTTAGTACCGACATGTTTTGACAATATACAAAACGGACTAGAAACAGGGGCCGATTGCGGTTGGGTTTGTCCTCTGCGATGTGACTCACAGCTCTGCACATTGGACACTGACTGCAAAAGCGGTGTTTGTGCGGGGCAGTCTTGTCAAGGTAGGAAACTAGAAAAGGACGTTCTTCCTATACCCAACGGAGATTATAGCGGGCACTTGTAACGATGGTATTCGAAACGGTGGAGAAATTGGCATTGACTGTGACGGTCCTTGTGTTAAACAATGCAACGGTCAAGCATGTACTTCACACGATGATTGTTGGAGTGGTGTCTGTGGAACTAATCGAACTTGCTCAGGTAAACGCTGCTAGTGAGACATTTCTGAATTTTGACCCTTGTCTTTAGTACCCGCATGTTCCGACAATATACAAAATGGACTAGAAACAGGGACCGATTGCGGTTGGGTTTGTCCTCTGCGATGTCACTCACAGTTCTGCACATTTGACACTGACTGCAAAAGCGGGCTTTGTGCATGGCAATCTTGTCAAGGTAGGAAACTAGAAAAGAATGTTTTTCCTATACCGAATGGAAATTGTAGCGGCTACTTGCAACGATGGTGTTCGAAACGGTGGAGAGATTGGCATTGACTGTGATGGTCCGTGTGTGAAACGATGTTATGGTCGAGCATGTAGTTTACCTGATCATTGTTGGAGTGGTGTCTGTGGAACTAATCGAACTTGCTTAGGTAAATGATTCTAGCAAGGAGTTTCTCAAATTTGACCCTTCTCTTTAGTACCCACATGTTCTGACAATATACAAAATGGACTCGAAACTGGTATCGATTGTGGTGGGTCTTGTCCTCTGCGATGTGACTCACAGTTCTGCACATTGGACATTGACTGCAAAAGTGGTGTTTGTCTGGGGCAATCCTGTCGAGGTAGGAACCTAGAAATGAATGTTCTTCCTATACCCAATGGAGATTGTAGCGGCTACTTGTAACGATGGTGTACGAAACGGTGGAGAAATTGGCATTGACTGTGATGGTCCTTGTGTGAAACAATGCAATGGTCGAGCATGTAGTTTACCTGATCACTGTTGGAGTGGTGTCTGTGGAACTAATCGAACTTGCTTAGGTAAATGATTTTAGTAAGAGGTTTCTCAATGGGGGCGCATCAGTTCGTAACGAAGAAATTTACAGGACTTTCGTAACCCGAAAGCGCAGTTGTTATTTTGTTTACAGGGCTCTCGTATCAAAAAAAGACAGGTGTTTCGTACCAGTTTTGACAGGGTTTTCGTATCGAATTTCGACTGGGCTTTCGTATAAAAAATATACAGGGTTTTCGTATCAAATATATACAGGACTTTCGTAACTAAGTTCTATATTGCATTCATAACCAGATTAAAAGGCTAATATTCTTTAAACAACAGGATATTCGTTTATATTATTGAGCTTTTTTAGTTGTCTACATCTAGTTCTGTCTTTTTTCAATTACTGTATGCGACTATTTCTTATTAAAGTTCTTGACTTAGAGTCACGAAAATATATTTAGTACTCTTATTTCTATTTTTTGGATTTTGTGCTTGTTCACTCTTCTCCATCTCCATGTACTTCTTGTGTGTTGCTACTTCTTGTTATTATTAGGAAATAAATTTAGAAAAAGATTAAAGCTTGATTGTATCTATGGTCCCGTTCCTTCTTTCTGCTCTTGAATTTTTTTCGTTATAATTTTTATAGAATGCTAATCTCTAAAGATATCCTGTCAGAACTCATTATTAGAGCTCACACTAGCTGCCTCTTCGTTACGATAGCCCTGTCAGAACGGTACGAAAGCTGTGTAAAAATCCATACGAAAGCTCTGTAAAATCGACAGAAAGACTCTGTAGAAATGATATGAAAGCCCTGTAAATTCTTGATACGAAAGCCCTGTCAAAACGTATACGAAAGCTCTGTAAAAACGATACGAAAGCTCTGTCTAAATTTGATACGAAAGCCCTGCTTTTTTATGAATTTTTAAAGGGCTTTCGTAACCTACCGTTACGAGTCGTTACGTTCCCTTCTCAATTTCGACCGTTCTCTTTAGTACCCACATGTTCTGACAATATACAAAATGGACTTGAAACAGGCGTCGATTGTGGTGGGCCTTGTCCTGTGAAATGTGACTTCCAGTCCTGCTCATTCACTACGGAGTGTAAAAGCAGTGTTTGTGATGAGTATTATCTCACATGTCAAGGTAGGAAACTAGCAAACAATGTTCTACCTATACCGAATGAAAATTGTAGCGGCTACTTGTAACGATCGTGTTCGAAACGGTGGAGAAATTGGCATTGACTGTGATGGTCCCTGTGTGAAACGATGTAATGGTGGAGCATGTAGGTCAGCTGATCATTGTTGGAGTGGTGTCTGCGGAACTAATCAAACTTGCTTAGGTAAATCATTCTAGCGAGAAGTTTCTGAATTTACACAGTTTCCTATAGTACCCACATGTTCTGACAATATACAAAATGGGCTTGAAACTGGCGTCGATTGTGGTGGACCTTGCCCTCTGAAATGTGACTCAGAGCACTGTATATTCAGTGCGGAGTGTAAAAGCAGTGTTTGTGGGAGCTGGTGGCCATCTTGTCAAGGTAGGAAACTAGAAAAGAATGTTCTTCCTATACCGAACGGAGATTATAGCGGCTACTTGTAACGATCGTGTTCGAAACGGTGGAGAAATTGGCATTGACTGTGATGGTCCGTGTGTGAAACGATGTTATGGTCGAGCATGTAGTTTACCTGATGATTGTTGGAGTGGTGTCTGTGGAAGTAATCGAACTTGCTTAGGTAAATCATTCTAGCGAGAGGTTTCTGAACTTTGACCCTTGTCTTTAGTGCCCACATGTTCTGACAATATACAAAATGAACTCGAAACTGGCGTCGACTGTGGTGGACCTTGCCCTCTCAAGTGTGACTCGCAATCCTGCGCATTCGACACTGACTGCAAAAGCGTTGTTTGTGTGGGGCAATCTTGTCGAAGTAGGAAGCTAGAAAAGAATCTTTTTTCCTATACCGAATGGAGATTGTAGCGGCTACTTGTAACGATCGTGTTCGAAACGGTGGAGAAATTGGCATTGACTGCGATGGTCCTTGTGTGAAACGATGTACTGGTCGAGCATGTAGTTCACCTGATCATTGTTGGAGTGGTGTCTGCGGAACTAATCGAACTTGCTCAGGTAATTGATTCTCATGAGAGGTTTCTGAATTTAGACCCTTTTCCTTAGTACCCACATGTTCTGACAATATACAAAATGGACTCGAAACTGGCGTCGATTGTGGTTGGGTTTGTCCTCTGCGATGTGACTCACAGTCTTGCGCAGTCGATACTGACTGCAAAAGCGGTGTTTGTTCGTTCCAACGATGCCAAGGTAGAGAAATACAAAAAAAATATGTTTCTTATAGTCAATGGAGATTGTAGCGGCTACTTGCAACGATGGTGTTCGAAACGGTGCAGAAATTGGCATTGACTGTGATGCTCCTTGTGTGAAACGATGTAATGGTCAAGCATGTAGTTCTCCTGATGACTGCTGGAGTGGTGTCTGCGGAAGTACTCGAACCTGCTCAGGTAGCTGCTTCTAATAAGAGGTTTCTGAAATTAGACCCTTCTCTTTAGTACCCACATGTTCTGACAATATACAAAATGGACTCGAAACTGGTATCGATTGTGGTGGGACTTGTCTTCGAAGGTGTGACAATGTCTACTGCACACTTGACAGTCAGTGCAACAGCAGTGTTTGTTCGTCGCAAACTTGTCAAGGTAGGAATGTACAAATGAATATTGTTCCTATACGGAATGGAGATTATAGCGGCTAGTTGTAACGATGGTGTTCGAAACGGTGGAGAAATTGGGATTGACTGTGATGCCCCTTGTTTGAAACGATGTAATGGTCGGGCATGTAGTTCACCTGATGATTGCTGGAGTGGTGTCTGTGTAGCTGGTCAAATTTGTTCAGGTAAATGCTTTTAGTGAAAAGTTTCTGAATTTCAATGATTTTTTAGTACCGACATGTTTTGACAATATACAAAATGGACTCGAAACTGGCGTCGATTGTGGTGGGTCTTGCCCTCTGAAATGTGACTCAGAGTACTGTATATTCAGTGCGGAGTGTAAAAGCAGTGTTTGTGGGGGCTCGTGGCAATCATGTCAAGGTAGGGAACTGGAAAGGAATGTTGTTCCTATACCCAATAGAGATTGTAGCGGCTACTTGTAACGACGGTGTTCGAAACGGTGCAGAAATGGGCATTGACTGCGATGGTCCTTGTGTGAAACGATGTAATGGTCGAGCATGCAGTTCACCTGATCATTGTTGGAGTGGTGTTTGCGGAACTAATCGAACTTGCTCAGGTAAATGATTCTCATGAGAGGTTTCTGAATTTAGACCCTTTTCCTTAGTACCCACATGTTCTGACAATATACAAAATGGACTCGAAACTGGCGTCGACTGTGGTGGGTCTTGTCCTCTGCGATGTGACTCACAGTTCTGCACATTGGACACCGACTGCAAAAGTGGTGTTTGTGTGGGGCAATCCTGTCGAGGTAGGAACCTAGAAAAGAATGTTTTTCCGATACCGAATGGAAATTGTAGCGGGTACTTGTAACGATGGTGTTCGTAACGGTGGTGAAATGGGCATTGACTGTGAGGGTCCTTGTGTGAGAAGGTGCAATGGGCGAGCATGTAGTTCACCTGATGATTGTTGGAGTCGTGTCTGTGGAGAGAATCAAACTTGCTCAGGTAAATGCTTTTTGTTATAGGTTTCTGAATTTAGACCCTTCTATTTAGTACCCACATGTTCTGACAATATACAAAATGGACTCGAAACGGGCATCGATTGTGGTGGACCTTGTCCTCTGAAATGTGACACACAGTTCTGCACATTGGACACTGACTGCAAAAGCAGTGTTTGTCGGGGGCAATCTTGTCGAGGTAGGAAACTAGAAAAGAATGTTTTTAGTATACGCAATAGATATTGTAGCGGCTACTTGTAACGATCGCGTTCGAAATGGTGGAGAACTCGGTATTGACTGTAATGGTCCATGCCTGAAACGATGCAACGGTCGAGCTTGTGGATTAGCTGATGATTGCTGGAGTGGTGTCTGCGGAGAGAACAAAACTTGTATAAGTAAGTAGTAGCAATGAAGATAGCTTGCGCTTTAAGGCTTTTTTGTGCTGAAATGGTGTTCAAGTGTGGAAAGTGAAGTCGCGTAAAGTTGATCGTGCTGTGCGTAGTTTGGAAGGTGGTGGAGATCTATCGAGAACGTATCGAAGAAAAACGAAAGAGCCATAAGCGTCTGAAAAGTGGAAATGTCGAACAAGGAGAATCTAGTAGAAGAATCTTGGAATAGGCAGTTCTACTTGATAATAGTCACCTCCGTTATATTCTGCTGAAATGATGAAGGGAGCTGTTTGCCTAGGCTCGGGAATGTGCAGAGATGGTGTGATGGATTTAGCATTGGGAGGAAAGGGTTCGTACTCTCTGGTATAGCGGAAACGAGTTTTGGGTGGCGTCACTGAGAATTTGGAAGAACTTTTGCTGCGAAAAACGATATGTTTGAAAGGCTGTGGGTACCCCTCCACCACACATCCCCCGCATGCACTCTCTAGGATGTGACAGAGATATTGATATTGTCTTACTGGACGAGGAGACTTTGGGAAGCTTTAGCCGATTGGTCATGAAATTCTTGCAGAAGCTATAGGGACCGTACAATGGGAGATCGAGAAAGATTTTTAGCCGATTGGGATTGGGGGTTATATTTCAAGGATGAAACGTTGTCAAGGAGGTTTGGAGTGCCACAAGAAGTCTTCGCACTATGAATAAATGTATATTTTTCGTTTAGAGAACTGTGATCGAATCCTTCGGATCAGCCCCTAATCTAAAGAGGACCCTGGTTTACTTTTCAAGATGTTATATGTCTGTATGTTAATATTGTAAGGATGGCACCAGAAGCTTTATCAAGTAGATTTCGCTTACTTTAGAACGCTGCAAGACCATTACCTGAAAAGCGTGTACTGTACATGAGTTTTACGTTAAGCGTGTGTTAAAGTCTATGATGCAGAATTATTCTCTTTTTGCGGTTGACTTGAAGTTGTTTGTTGCGACATTACTATCGACTTCAAAATAGAAGGCGAGTACTTGCAAATGGAATAACTTGAGAACACAAGCAGCTAGGCACCAACAGTTTTCACTATTACAAACAGGACAATGAAGGCATATCAATTGGTGAAAAAAATTAATTTATTAATAATAAAGCAGTCGGGTACACGCCTATTGAACTTTTTGAGAATTTTTTTCGAAACGCTCTTTCCTCAAACTCTGCACTTCAATACAAGCATTCTACAGAAAAAACTTGTTCTCTTTCGATTTATGCAGGATCCAGTGCAATCACGTACTTCGCTTAGGAGTTTTACGGATTTTTTTTGAAACTCAAAAGTAGTCAAGTGACCTTCGTTCACCCTCAAACAGGTAACAGTATAAGGCGTATTCCTAACTCATCCCAACACCACAAACACCCAACTTTGTAAAAACACATAGTGACCATCTTCGCTAGCACTGACA